ATGTAGATTATACAAATAAGTAACATCGAATTTACGATTAAAGTTAAACACTGGAAAATTCGAGCGTCAAATTTAACATCATCAGTTAATGTCTTTGAGTGGAAAAAAAGGGTTATACCCTATTTATATTAGCAATTAAAAAGATTTTGATGTTGACTTACTATTTATTTAAGATGGTTCAGAAAGATCTTATAATTTGTGGATAAAAAATTTAGTGGGGATGATTCGCTTTGATAGTAAGAAAAAGTCCGCAAAGTACCCTGTTGCAAATGTATCCAACGTATCTATACGGATACGTTGACAGTTTTGTCAGATTAAATAAAACATGCTTACCACAGCTTATTACTCAAAGATATCAAGGAGTGGAATTTAGGTTAAAGCATTCGCAAATGTTTGGGAGACGTTTGGTTGAAAAACCTTTGGTAATTATTACAATATTTATCTTAAGACTGATGTGAAATTTTTAGCAAATGTTTTTGATAAATTTAGGGTATCTTCAAAGGTTCATTGCGGTCTTGACCTAGCTCGCTACTCTAGTGCTCCAGAAATTTTGTGGGATATGCTAAAAAAGAAAAAAGTTAGTTTGGAACTTCTCGCTGATATTGACACTTCTCACTGATATCTCAATGGTGAGAAAATGCTTTGCTGAGATATATAATCTAGAGTGTCTTGACTATAATAGTACTGAAACTAATAACCTGAGATGAAAAATATAAAAATCCACAGAGCGAACAAATTTAGGCAAGAACAATGGTTGAAATCATACATTGAGTTAAAAACAAACTTATGGATAAAGTTTAATTTTAAAAAGAATTTCTTCAAGCTCATGAACAATTCTGGGTACGGCAAAACTTGTGAATAGTTTTGAAAACGCGTTCGCGGAAAAGAAGACCGGTTTTTAAAAAATTATCGCAGACCCTGCTTATCTTAGTCGTAAAATATTTAATAGTGACCTTGTAGCTATCCACAACACAAAAGCTAAGTTAAAGCTAAATAGACCTATTTATATTGGTCAGGATACTTAAAACTTCTTGTATAAGGTGAAGATTGAAGATATTAACAAACACATGAAAGAACTTTCTAATTTTTAAGGTTTATGCTAGTCTTCACAAACAAATTGTCTGTTTGGCCCGATAAAAAAGTGACAAAGTACAGGTTTTCCCTTTTGTCGAACTACTTAATCAATAGAATGGATTGCTAAAAACCAGATTGGTCAGTAGTTCTTCTTTTTCCTCTTGTATTAAAATTTATTTTAAACCTATTTCAGTAAATATTTATAGAGGTAAAGTTGTTTTTCCAATTTTGACAGCATTAATTGGTTTGTCACCTAACAAACGAGTCACACTTTAATTAATTGATTTAACTACAGCAGGCAAAACCTTAAGCAATCCAAATAATCTTTCAGAAGACATTTGCGATTCATAAGCATATTAGCGACCAAAAAATATTTTCAGCAAGTTTGCAATTGTACCTTTCAACTATTGATTTTTAGCTGCAGCTAAAAATCATCGGGAATAATCGCAGTATTTAGACTTCAAGAAGTTTTGTAACTTTTCCCTTATACTCACTTCCAGCATCAACATGAATCAGGTTAGGCCAGGTAAGAGGACCTATTTTATAAATTTTGAAACTGTGGGAGACGTTTTTTTTATTGAGAGGTTTAACATCTCCATGGTAACCAGCCACATCAACAACAATTAAAGCGTATTTATAAACATTAATCTGTTAACTTTAGACAAATAGAGTAAATCAGCTTGGTAAACCATATAAGATTTACATTCATTAATTTTTACTCTTGGTATGTAAATAAGTGGGTGGATAGAAATTTGCCATATTGCTTGTTTTTTAAGCCACTTATGTCTTTTTCAGAAACCTTTGCAGCTGTTGCAAGCTTTTTAATAACGGCAAGCACTCACCAATAACCTTGAAAGCTATAGCAAATTCATATGTAATACTAAAATTTTTCAATAGATAAAACGGTATTATAGTATACAAACAAATTGGAAGTACACCTGAAAAAAAAAAGTTAAAAACAGTAATCTTAATGAATTCATTGACGCTAATTGAGCTGAGTTTGATAACTATGTAAGAAAACCTGAGAACCATACTCATTGACCTATTTTTTATGTCAACATGAACTCATCTTTTACTGCTAGACAGATGTATTGGTCCCATTGGTGGTCAACGCAACGAAATTAAGATTTCTCTTTGTTTGTTTTTTTCTCACAGCCGAGGCGATGTAAAATGATTTGCATTTTTCATTGGTGAGAAATTTTTGTTATTTCAAAACTGTTAACATATACAGCTTTCCCGAAAGTATCAACTTGCCATCTAGTATCAAGTTCTACTTCAACAACATTTTTTCTATAAATATTTAAGAAGTTGATATCTTATTGTTTCGATAAGAAAGCTTTCGTCCCGCATGAGAAGATCTTTATTGAGTATTTTAACAGTTTGAATATTTCCTTTTCAACAAGCCAACTTAAAAATGTACTCTTGAAGACTAAGGCTTAAGATACTGTTTTCTCCAGCAAGAGTTAGACCCATTTTTATTATCGCCAATGCTACAAACGTTCAATTAAAGATCTAAAGATGATATGTATACCAGAACAGGAAAAATATTCCGCAATAAAAAAATACGTAGTTGGAGTAGCAGTAATAAATTAACACATCGGATTTTTAAGTTTGGTAGAAAACGAATTTGATAGAAAAGATTTGCTTCAACAACAATTTAACAAAGCTCATCATGCATGTCAAGTATCAGTAAATACATGCTTAGGACTGATTAATACAGCTCAGAATTGCTCTATTACGTGGTTATTAATAAATATCAAACTGCTCTTGACGTAAACGCTGATCTTAATTTGGTATCCCCACTCCCATGGTACGGGAGTGGGGATACAAGTGTGTGTTTGTTGCCATTGCAACAAATACGCACTCTTTTGTTTTTTGTTTTTCACTGGGTTGATTAAAGTCTTTGAATTTGGGTTTCGAACCTATGTTAAACAAATCTTCATCTATTTGAAGATTTTTAGCTCTGTAAACTTTTCGATACAAACAAATAACATGTACATAGTCGTTTATTTTTTGTTTTAAAGCATTTTGAGCTTGAAACTATTTATTTATCTTGTTGAGTGCATCTAAACATTTTTCTTGCCTTTCTGCTTGCGCTTGTTGAAAACTTTTTGTGGCTTCGTTATGGCGTTTAATTTCATCCAGTGATCCTGTTGCCAAAATTGCTTGAACTCCCACAAATGACACTGCGTTTGTGACAGCCCCATACAAAATGACACCAATACCTGCAATTTTCTTTATACATAATATTTTTATTTATTCAATTAATACTCATAGCACTCATAGCACACGATCTTTTGTTTGAAAACTTCTCCAAAAACGAGATAGACAAGAAACTTGTTAATATCACGCATTTCGAAATTGAGTTCAGTCCGTTTCGCAACCTTGAACTTTTCAAAGTTAACTGTGGCTGTGATGGTCCCAGCCTTAACTACGACTGAAAGGTAAGAGGTAGGCACAGTAGTTGTTGTTGTCCCTGGACTTGTTGTAAGAGAGGATGTCGGATTTACCCCAACTACTAATATTTTTTGAATTTTTAAAAATTGTATTGTATAACTTTCACTGCTCCAAATAGTAATTAAATTAAATTAAAAAAAACTCAAAGAAATTTTCCAAGAGCTTGGTATTGAGCAATTGCAATGCCACAGCTCGGTTTGAATAAGTCAAAGTTTTCTAACCACTTTTTTGTAAAAGTGTAATTAACCCAGAAGGTTTCACGTTGTACCTCCGTTTTGATTAAACTATGCGGCGTTCAATGTGTTCTCGAACTTATTAGCAAAGTAATGGATGGAGACGAGTGCATTACCATTGATGACGATTATATTTGTGAAAATGACCTGGATTCGCATGGGTCACTACTAGCTAAGCTCGGCATATCAGGGCACCACGTAAAGCACTAGTTATTGCTTCTGGATCAAAGGTATACAGGAATCTCCGTGTTCTTTTCTAGCTTTAAAATTATTATAGAGGATTTACGTCCAATAAAATATTTTCAAGAAATTTTTAACAACAGTGTCATTTTATGATAGTTTATTATTATTATAAAAAAATTAATAAATTATAAAAAGCTTAAGAGTAGAGCATACATGAACTATTAACGTGTACTCTATTCTATTTATGTAGTCTTTAGCTTTATATATGTGTTATTATAAGTTCTATTCATCCATGTAAACTTGCAACTGTGATAGCAACCTTTCATAATGCCAGAGTCAAGAAACTTTAAGACTTGAAAACTTTAAAGACTAAAAATGAAGATTGTTAATGTTTATTTGTTAAAAAAAATGAAACAAAAAGTTTATCTTTTTGAAAAGATTGAAACTAACTAGATTTATGTGGTGGTGTTTTTAAAATAATTGGCCAGTAGGTCATTGTTCATGGTGACACAATAACCTACAGGCCAAAAAAATCCATCATTAAAAAAAAATGCCATTTTATCACAATTCGGTAACGCTGATCAGTTATATTACGTTAGAAATGAGGTTTCAGTTATGTTTCTTTACTAACACTTTTTACTAATGTGTGCCAAACTTTAATAAGATATTGTAATGCCCTCTTACTGAAATACTAAATTGACAACTTTAATTAGTGAAAACTAAAAGTCATCAATCCCTAAATATATTAGCTTCACAATTGGCACACCTAAAATACTCGCTTTACAATTGCGATGATCCTTAAAAATGAGACTTCAGTTATGAATTAACTAACTTACAGATCATTTTATAAACCGTTTTATCCGCATAAAAGATGAATCAATTCTCCGTTAAACTGCAAACGGCACCAAGTAAAATTTCGATGTTTAAAAATGCATTTAAAAAATTGCACAATGCGATTAAAGTTGTTACAATTCTCGCTACAACAATTAGTTCGAGACATTTTCAAATAATTAAAACGAAGCGCTAATATTCGATAAGAACAATAACTAAAAATGTTATAAAGATATCTCAAATCAACTAAGTTAAGTAATACTGATCGGGAGAAAATTTTTGAAGTAATATCCCAGTTAATATAAATTCATTTGATAAAATTCTATAGTTCAATTTTTCAAATTTCAATATTTCTTTATGATCTTCAATGCAAGAGACTATGTATGTGTTTTCCATATATTTCGTAGGAGCTTTATGAAGAAACTAAAAGCAGAAACACATCAATAAGAAAAGAAAAAAAAGCTGTTAGAAAATTGAAACATAAAAAAATTGTTACCTTGCCAACATAAAAAAATGGTTACCTTGCCACCAGAAAATTCAATCATCTCTAGAATTATTAAAAAAAAAAAGATAAAACTCTTCAAAACCTTTAATTTTACTTTATTTTTACATTTGGTTGGTTAAGTTCGTAATAGCTTTTACCTTTTATAGCTTTTGGTTCCGGCTTCACATTCCTGGTTACGTAAATTTGCACATTTTCAAACAAATGAGTATGTGCTGCTGTTTCTAAAGATCTTTTAAAAAAAATATTAATAAAATTAAAATATAAAATAATTACAAATGTAACATTAATTATGCTAACGTAAATTTTATTTTACTTTAGTCACGTTGTACAAAAAGTTTAATATAAATTTCAAATCCTAGAAAATAAAAAACTAAATGTATCATTCAAAAGTTAAAGGTTTGTAGTTTCTAAAACCATGTAACATGTAGAACTGGTTTTCGAAGAATTTCTAAAAACATGTAACATGTAGAACTTTCGAAGAATTTTACGATTTGATGCTTAAACTTTAAACAAAATTTTTTAGACTTCAAATTTAAATTATTTTCCTAGTAAATCATTTTGAAACCTTTTTTTTTTTTTTTGAAACTTTTTTAAATTTCTAAGTAGATTTGTCTCACCCAAAATATAGATTGGGCTCTTGCTTTTTAAATTGAAAATTTATTATAATAATTAAATAGTCTTTCATTGAGAAATTTCTATTTGGTCTTCTTTAAGTTGGTCACGCTGTGACACTAATAGTAACATTTTTTATTCTAGCGTAAGAAAATTTATTTATTTTAAATAAATATTTAAAATAGAGCAATAATAAAATTCTATTTATTTTTAATATTTATTTAAATATCTATTTTAAATAAATATTAAAAATAGAGCAATAAATATCAATAGATATTTAAATTTAAATATTTTTAGTTTTTGTGTTATGTGTCGTAATTTTTTGTCACGTTGTGACGACACGGCGTGACATTTTATAAAATTAAATTTAAAGACTAATTTTTATAAAAATGTTACATAAAAAACGTGTTAGTTTAACATTTGCAGTATTTTTATAGTTTTTTATTTGTAGATAAGTTTTGAAACCTCTTCTAATATAACTAACATTGTTTTTTTTTTATTAAACTTGTAGGTGTACTTGTAAATATGTAGACATATTTTACTAACACGTTTGTTATTTAGTTTTTCTTAAATTTTGTCGCGCCATTGCTGAAGTTATTCAAAATGTTTATTGTTTATACAATTCTTATAAAAAGTAAACTTTCGCAAACAAGTTATTTATTTCTTTGTTGAAAGTAATAAAAATGCCTCTGGCACATGGTAAACGCCAGAGAAAGTATAAAGAAAGACAAATGCAAAAATTTGGTCCGGATTTTATAAAGGAAAAGGACTCGATACGGAAAAAGGAAAAACGAAATTCTCACGTTGAATTAGCACGTTTAAAGGACAAGTTAAGAAAAAAAAGAGTAGAGTTTCTTAATCTAAAATAACATCTCTCCTGCTTACAAATCATTTTGTACACTTGGTAAAGCTGTTAAAAAAGCAACTTCTCCTCTTGAAAAAGCAACTGTTGTTAAACAACTTGCAATTCAGTTTAACAAAGATTTACCAGATGTGCAACCAATACATGGACCTAATGCTCTTAATGATGAAACGAAGCTATGCGTCATTATGAAGCTATGCGTCAAAAAATGAAGCTATGCGTCATTTTTTTGAAAAAGATGGTATATCCCGTCAGGAATCTGGAGTAAAAGATACGATTGTTTTAAGAAGTAATAAAGAAAAAAAAAAAATTCAAAAAAAGTATTTAACAATGAATATAAGTGAATGTAAAAAAACGAAATATTTAAAAACGAACTCACTGATTTTTCAATCAGTAAACCCAAGTTTGCTAGTTTGAGACCAGGCCATATACATCTATCAAGCTTAATGTCTAGAAATGTTTGTTCATGTCAAAACATGAAAACATTATCTTGTCACTCAAAGCATTACGTTTTATCAATTTAAAAATTTCCCTTTATTCGCATGCTTTACCAAATACTTTAGTGTGTGACGAGAAAAATGATAATTGTTGGAATAATCTTTGTGAAGCTTGTAAGGACGAAAAGCTATTTCTTAAAACATATCAATTAGATGAAAAAAAACACGATAAAGAAATTACCTGGTACTTTTGGGAGAAAGTTAAGCAACTGTTAATGTTTAAACTAATGGAACTAAGTACCTCGAAAAAGCAATAAAAAAAGACAGAGCCATAATTTTGTAAAAAAATGTTTGCAAAATGCTACCCAAATTTCTTTTGCATTATTTTATAAAAGGAAAAAAATCAATGAGTTATGAAAACCAAAAAAAAGTTTTAAAAAGCAATCTTGATTCAGTTTTGTTACAAGTTGACTTTGCAGAAAACCTTTCAACTTTCTGGTAGGATGAAGTTCAGTCAGCACATTGGAACTAAAAATTAACATTATTTACTGCTGTTGGCTGGCATGGTGAATCTTGTAAATCTGTCGTTATAACTTCTGATGATTTGAACCATTCAAGAAGTTCAATTATTTATTTTATTGACTTGTTAGTAACTAACCTTATAAGAAAGGATGTAAAATACTTGTAAGTTGGTCTGATGGTCCTAGCAGTCAATTTAAGAATTGTTACATAGTAGCTTCGATTCATGGCTTGAAAGCGAGCACAAAATTAAAATTTGCTGGAATTACTTTGCAACCTCTCATGGTAAAGGACCATGCGATGGTATAGGAGCAACTATAAAAAGATTAGCAACACAAAAAAATTGTTCAAAGAGAAGCTCTGATTAATGACGCAACAGCATTTTATAAAGCCGTCAGAGATGAAAGCCAAGTAAACGTTTTCATGGTTGCTGTTGAAAAATTAAAACTGCTTTTGATGGGACAGAACTTGGAAACATCATTAATAATGCTTGTAAAACGTCTGGAATATTTAGTGCCCATTGTTTAAAACAGTTTAATGATAAATCAGAAATGAAACCTTATTTAAGTGCATCATGCTTAGTTAACTAGATAAAATTTAATAAAAAAAACGTAGTTGAATTTTACAAGACTTTTTTTAAAATTATTGTAAATAAACTGTTATGTTAAACGTTATTGTTATACCAATCTTATAAAAATCCGAATAAATTGTTTTATTTTGTTTCAACTGTCTTTTTGATGATGTTATTGTCTTCATATTCAAAGATTTTGTACTAGTCACACCGTTACGTCACGGTGTGACTAGTACGAAATCATTTTAAAAATGTTATGAAACTATTATAACACCTTTTAAGTATCCAAGACATAACAAAAGTATCCAAGACATAACAAAAAATTATTTCAAAATATCCACAAAAGCTGAACTACTGTCATTTCTTTTAATGACGGAAAATGCTAGATAATTTTTGTCACGTCGTGACGCATCCTTTTAATGCGTATACCTAAAAGTCTATAAAATATTACAACTAAATAATTTTTTTCTAGAAACTGTAATGTATATGAAAATTTTTTAGTATCTTTCATTTTAAATTTTTTAATTTTAAATCGGCTAAAATCTGATAAAAAAGATCATATGTCACGCCGTGCAACGTGGAATTGTCTTGCCCCAGTCACGTGACAAGATAACAAATTTATCAATTTTAAATTTTTATTACAAAATTTTCTACTTTTGATACTTATAATTATCTTTAAAAAGAAGGATTGTATATTTCTGATGTAGTTTTTTTTTTTTTTTACAAATTTAAAGATCTACTTTTTGCTTTTTTAGTTTCTATTCTTTAGTTTTACTTTCGTGAGTTTTTATGAATTAAAAAAATGAAAGTAAACTTGCGAGGGAAAACTTTCCATAAATTTAGTTGTGGAACAATTCTGTGTCTGAGGGAATGATCCTCCAAGAGGATTTTCTAAATACCTAATCAGAGCATTATTAAAAAAAGTTGCTCAAACGCGTTATTTTATTAACCATTAATGTGCATGCATTGTCAATCAATGTAGAAGTACTTGACCTTCACTGTCTCAATTTGATCAATCATAAAGAATTTTTAAACTCACTGAGTGAGTTTAAAAATTCTTTATGATTGATCAAATTGAGACAGAAGACAAAGAATTGAGAAGAAGAATTAACTTTTAAGTCTTTGAACAACTCACCTGCTTCAGGTATGTCTCCAAACTTTTCAAAACTAAAAATTTGTGTAGATGTTTCTTACAAATGTAGATCTTAAACCAGGCTATGCAAAAATACTCAAACAAAAGTTATCACTTTCTTGTGATAACTTATTTAAATATTATTGCATAGTCTGTGTATGTTAGGTGAGTTCGGTATGTTAGGTGAATTTCTTTACAGTATATGGTAGGTTTCTTTGAACTTTTATTTTATCGATCATTTGCCAACAGTTTAGAAAAAAAAGTATAAAAATTGAAAAAAAAAAAAATTAAAAAAAAATACAACTTAAATAAAGGTATAACTTAATGAAGAATAAATTTACTTATAAGAAACATTATAAAACAGATTTTTAAAATAACTATTTTAACGGTTATATAACTACGGTTGTTATTGCTATTATATATTACTTATATTTGTCATGTTAATGTTACTTGTATTGTATTCTTTAATAATAATAATTTTTGCTATATAGTAAAGAAGTGTTTCTATAAAATTGTGATTCTTAAACCAAATGAGTTATTTTTATGAACATTTAAATTGTGATTTTTGAACCTTGTGTATTAAATTACAGGATTTTTTTTATTAGGTTTTTTTTTTTATAATCACTCTAACATTTTACTGTTTAACGTTGAAAACAATACCTGCTGTTAGTAAGTTATTAAAATATATATATATATATTTCAGTGTCTCATTTTTATTTTTAATGTTTTAATAAGTTCAATTTTTGTACCGACTGATTTTTTTACACAATTTTAACTGATTTTTACATTGATTTTTTTACACAGTTAAATTAGGGGCCATTCATATATTACTTACGCAAAAATCTCCAAAATTTAACCCCTCCCCTCCTCCTTATTGCAACTCGTACATTTTTATACCCCATCTCCCTCATGCGTACATACGCTTGGTGGTCCCCCCCCCCCCCCTCATATAAGTTTCATATACTTGGTGGTCTAAGTTCCCTCCTCGAAATTTCATTCACGCACGCGAATGTGACTTGAATGTGACACTTTTTTTTTTTTTTTTGCGTTGTTTAACCTTTGTGACCTTAACAGGTCATGAATGTGAGCGGCGTTCACCTTTTATTGGGCAAAAGTAAAGGTTTTTAATGGGAAAGCGAACGTGAACTACCACCTTAATTTTTTGCGTTTGCGTACATACATTTGTTGGACCCTCCCTCCACCTCCCCATACGCATTCGTATGCAAATTAATCAACTTGGAACACCCCCCTCGAATCATATGTAATATTTGGATGGCCCCTTAAGGAGAAACTTTCACGATTTAAGTAAACCAAATGTTTAGGGTTGTAATTGTCCCGGTTTTTCTGAAGGAGAATGCAATAAAAATTTGAATTTTAATTAGTTTAGCACTGCGCTTGAGTTGATTATATGTGTTTATCTATAAGATATGTATACATAAATATATATAATCATATATATACTTTTAAAAACGAGACAATTTTTTAAATTTTATTTAAAAACATTTTACTACTTAAATTTAAGACATGCTTCGACTATATATACTCATCATCAGTTGAAATATATTTGTTAAAAACGGTATAAGTATAGTAATTGTAAAAATAAACATAATAAAAGCCATAAAATTGATAACAAACTTCCTATTTATACAAAAAAAACTTATTAAAAATCATTTAACAAATGTCAAATATAACAAAAGAACCGGTAATTCATTTTAAATGGTAAAAGTCATTTTAACATGATTTATTTGTTTATTCGTATCAGGTATTTCCCATCCAATATAATTTTTAATTAAATTTTGTTATTGGCACGATCCTAAGTCGAAAAGCATTCATCACTAAATTTAGTAAAACATTTTTCTTTTGAGTGAAGATGCTTATAAATAAAAGAGTTTTAATCACTATACTGTTCAATCATTCGTGTTTTCAAGTCTATACTGTTCAATCAATCAAATCTATACTGTTCAAATCAATCAAATCTATACTGTTCAATCAAATCTATACTGTTCAATCATTCGTGTTTTCAAGTGGCGAGAAGTTTTCGCCTACTTACATCCTGCACAAACAAATTTGTAAACAACGAATGATTTTAAATCTACAGGAAGGTGATCTTTAGATGAAACAAAAGTTAGACACTTTTAGCGAAGTGAATACCAATCTTACGGTAACCGACTTACAATGTCTCGTAATAATTGTGTGTAATCTTTGCTTCGTTAGCTCAGATATTTTTTCAATATAAGGGAGTTTAAAATAGTGAGAGTTTTTTAGGCATTCAGACGGTAATGGAACATCATAATTACCTTTATTTAAGTAAGAGTTGTGGATTTTTTCTATTATCCAAGATGGGTACATATTACGTTTGAGAAGTTCAAAAAGTTTGTTAATATCATAACGAAGACCAAGGATAGTATTGTTAATTTTGAAAGTTCTATCAATTGAACATTTATAAGACTTATTTTATATGAAAAGTGAGGCAAAGCTGTAAAAGTTGGTGTTGAATCCAGTGAAAGTTTTTATGAAAGACTGTTGAAATTTTTGAACTGTTTAACTTACATTTATTATTAGTTAAAAAAAAATTATTATTAGTTAAAAAAAAAGATATTTTAAAATTTTCTTCCTTTTTGATGGTAAAAGATATTAAAGAATGTTTTTTGCTGATGTAATCCAATAATAAAACTGCGTGGTTTTCTGAGGGAAAAGAAGCAAAAATGACATTTTCATAACGTTTGTAAAACAATTGTTTTACTCCATTATAAGATATGACCCATATTTTTTTTAAATTACCTTAAACAGATTAGCAAGTTCAGGTGCTAATGGAGAACCCATTGCAATGCCATCAGTTTGGTCATAAACTTTTAAAGCAAAAATGCATTTGTGCTGTTGCGAAAAGAATTTTTTTTAATTATTTTGTTGATTATAAAGATTTATTTGTTTTTTATGAAAACATCGACAGCAATATGTTTCTTGTAATGGAATGTTTGTGAATAAGCTTGTGATATCAAAAGATACAAGAAAACTGTTAAATAGGTTCGCCTTATTTACTTCTTTAAAAAACGTGAAAAAATCTTTAGTATAGAAATCAGACGGTACCAACGGATAAAATAAATCTCGACAAAATTTTTTTTTGTACATTTTGAAAATCAACATTTATTTTTCCGAATTTATTCCGTTAAAAAATAGATGCAATTTAAATGATCAGTATTAAAATGAACGGTAATTGTATAATAATATACCAGTAATATAAATCACATGACATAACATGAGTCAAAGCAATAACTAATATAAGCAATAAAACTTAGATCACTATCGCAACAACTGCTACTCTCAGGTCTTGAAAATCCCTTCTAGTTAAATTTAAGCACATTTTTCACCCTAGATATACTTATTTCGCATGTGCAATTATAATTTTTTGAAGAAAGCTTTTTTCAGCTAAGAAATTTTTAAATTTATTAATAAACCTATTTTATATTTCTACTAAAATACTTTAGTGGCATTTGTTCGATACATGTTCAAATGAAGTTAAAACTCATTTTAGTTTTAAAAATGCAACAATGATATGTTTCATCAACAAATAAAAAAGTTAAATCTTATCTCCTGATTAAAGATAATATTAAGTAATAAACTTTTTTTATCAAAACCATAACTTTTATGTTACATTTATTTTTTATTGTTTTAATTTACTAATAAAATATTATAAGTAGATTTTTGGTTAACAATGAAGGTTTTTTAACCCAGTATCCCTTCTATTTGAGACCTGAGGGTCTGTAGGTGAAATCAAGTTTCCTACGGCAGACACTAAGTACGATAAAGCTTATGCTGAAATAGAAATAAAGAGAGAAAAATACGCTGAAAATAAGAACGTTTGAAAACTCAGAACACATGAATTAAATTAAACTTATTAATCATTTCTCTTAAAAAAATGAGGTTAAGAAGGGGAGGGGAAGGGTCATTATAAATGGTCGCAAATATTGTTAAAATGTAATCAACAGAGAAGGTTGGAATTTCAAAAACCTAAAATTTATATAAACATGAAAATACAAAAATTAAATTGCTTAACGGAGAACAATAAAATTTTTTAAATACCGAAGTTTTCAGAGGAAATTTTTTTAAACAAAAACGCTTTTTTTTATCTTAAAACAAAACAGAAATGTATTTTGGTTGGTCTCAAACATTTGCCATTTATGAAGGGTCTAATTAAGTTGTTTAAATAAAGGACGCATTAAAAACTTTTAAAAGAAAAAATATTAAAAAAAAAAAAATCAGAAAACAAAACTAGTAAACTCCTCTGCCTAATTGTGTATGGAGTGTGAAAGCTGGACAGGTTAGATGTAGTAGCAGGAGTAGGAGGGAAAGAAGGCAAAGCCAAGTGCCCTTTTTGGTTGGGATTTCGAAAAATTTGGATTGGGTGGTTGGGATTTAGAAAAAACTAAAATATTTATATGCGTCCAACTAGTTTATTAGAAACCTAAGAGTAATCAATTCAATTATTTTGTTAATAATAAAGCTGCTGAGAACGATCTGATTCATCTAACGTTCCATTAGTCTTTTTCCTATCATAAGCAAGTTTTATATTCCTATCATAAGCAATCTTTAATCCTGGCATGCTGGTGTTCTCCATAAGCTTTCTTCTTACGGTGTATCTGGCAACACCTTTAAGATTATTGAATCCTTTCCAATCGTAGTATAAAAGTTGTCCTCAATAGACAGCACTCTTTTTCTTATTCTGTAACTTCAGGGATTCTTCAAGTTTTAGTACTTGGCCCTATACTCTTTTTAATTTACATTAACGATCTTCCAGATATTCTCACATCTAAGGTGGCTTTGTTCGTTGATGATAATACCATTTATTCTTGTCATAATAAGAAGCCAACACTCTCTGATTGCTTAGAGGGGGCATTTGAGCTTGAAAAGAATGTCACTTCAGCTACAGCATGGAGTTTACAGTGGCTAGTGAACTTTAACTCAGATAAAACTCCATTTTTTCCAGCCAATCGTTATCGCAATAATTTAGATCTTCCTCTATTTGTAAACGGTAATGCACTTGATGAGTCATGTACACTTCATCTTCTAGAATTAAATCTTACTTCCGATCTTTTTTGGAAATCATATATCAAATCCATTGCAAAATTAGCATCTGCTAAAGTTACATCTCTTTATTAAGCTTGAAACTTTCTTACTCTGTATTCATTTCTCTACCTCTATAAATCTCGGTTTCATATATGTATGGAATATTGTTGCTATATCTGGGGCAGATCTTCTAATGATGCCCTTTTTCTTTTAGACAAGGTACAAAAATGCATTTAAACATAGTTGGACCTGCTCTTGTAGCCAACCTCCAACCATTATCCCATTGTCGTAGTGTTGCTTCTTTTTCTTTTCTACAAATCTAGAATGGGCAGTGCTCTAAAGAGTTAGCGTCTCTTGTGCCATCTACTAAAATTCATTCTCGTGTTACTCGTCATTCAATTAAGTCTCATCCTTTTTCTGCGACTGTTCCTAAATGCTCCAAAAACTCTTATTTGCCTAGTTTTTATGCTTGAACATCAGTTCTTTGGAATTCACTTCCTTCATCTTGCTTTCCTGATTCATATAATTTGTAACCTTTTAAGTCGTCTGCCAATCGTTATCTTGCTCTACAATCTTCATTTTTTCTCTTCCAGTAACTTCCAACTTTAATTAGTGGTTGCTTGCAGCCTTGTTGGAAGCAAAACAAAAAAACAAAAAAAACAAAAAAAAAACTTATAGTTATACAACTATTGCAAATAACACGTCAAAAATAAATTTAAATTGATTTTTAAACTCCATTTGAAATCACTTCCAAGTAATGTCACTAAATTGTAGCTTTTTGTCTTTTTTATAAACTTATTTTTTACAATGTGAAGACATAATGAAATTTAAGTAATTTAAAAAACTAATAAAAGCTTACTCTACAAGATCAAAATTGTATTGACGTTCAGCATCATTATCTTTCAACAAATGATGATGGTGTGCTTAAAAATATATCAATAAATTTAAATATTAAAAAAAAAAAAACCCTAGGTTAACCCTTTTTTTGTATATTTATATAGTAAGCAACTTAAATCACAAATATCAGATATAAAACATAATAAAAAACATAACAATAGAAATAGGTTGACTCCCAGTCAAAAAGTACAATACTGTCATAATTTAGTGAGAACACACACGGTAAAATTTTAAAAATGCATTTACCTTAAAAAGCTTTAATTTATCAAATATTTTGTTCAAAGACAATTTTTTTAGTTTTAGATAATGCGGAATATATAAATAAATAATAATGTTATGCATGTGTAGATAAATTAATAAAATACAGTAAATATTTTAGATCAAATTTGTCAAAAAAAATTCTATTTTTGGTACCATATCACCTGATTGGTGTATGCATATTTTAATTGAGACACAATATATCCAATAGAATTTTATTTTAAATAAAAAATTTATTAAATCTCAAACTTGGACTTTAATGGATGTTAAATTTATTGTCAAATCTGACTTTTATTAAGTGTCAAACCTGACTTTTATTAAGTATCAAACCTGACTTTTATTAAGTATCAAATCTGACTTTTATTAAGTATCAAACCTGACTTTTATTAAGTATCAAATCTGGCTTTTATTGGGTATCAAATCTAGATTTTATTGAGTGTTAAACATGGCTTTTATTGGGTGTCAAACCCAATAAAAGCCAAGTTTAAAAGGTTTCTAATTTTGATGCAAAAATTATAAGATCTAGTAGAACCTTTTGACTGAGGTAATGCACTGTAACTAACATACGAACAAACATGGAAGCAGTTTTTCCAGCTTTTAACCACTCTAAACTGACAATGGGTATGCCTCTTGCTACAGCACATAAAAATTTAACTGTACGACGAACCTTAAAAAAAAAAAGTACAAGAAAAAATCAAAACAGCAGGTTGTGTTATGTATAAAAATAACTTGCTACAAAATTAATAAAATAATTTTAACACATTTTTAACAAACAAAAAAGTTGTTTATTATAAATAAAAAGAAACCTTATCTGTAACTAGGTGAGTTGCTGAGCCTACATTATCAACAAGTTCACCACCAAGTTCTTTCACAATCTAAAATTTTAAAGCATGAGTATAAAAGTTGAAGAATTCTGAAATTGGAATTTAATATAATTTTAACATAGTAAAAGTAAGGGCTATTCCCAGTGGATAAAATCCATTATAGATATTCCCAGTGGATAAAATCCATTAAACAAAAAGTAAAATCATTCTTAAACCCATGAAAAATAATATCAACCTTTTTCAATATTACTCATCAAGAAAATACAATTTTTGCACGGCCTGTATTGTTAAAGCATACTTGTATTTTGAAAACTTTTAAAATACAATATTGGCAAGTAAAATTTCAACAAAATAGAATTTAAATCTATTTTATTTGGTGCTATTTTAGGTATATATAAAAAGATGTGTAATTTTACAAAAATATATAAACCTGTCTTTAGGTAAATACAGAATTACCTTAAAACCAGCAGTATAAATGCAATTCTTTTTTTTTTTCAAATCTATTCAGTAAAAGTATTTTTGCAATAAAAAAATTAAAATAAATAATAAAAATAAAAGTATTTTTAGTAAATGCAATGAGACTTTTGTTTTAATTACACAGCAAATCAACAACAAAATATTTTTTCTGGAAAAAATCACTGTAAATAGAATTGTTAAACCTCCATGAATCAAGCAGGTAAAAAAGACTTAGTACTTTAGAATTAAAAGGGGAATTGTACGATCGCGCAGTTGATTCAATAGTTACAACATCAATAACATCACAAACATACAGTTTCACTTGTTTAATTGTCTCAAGTAAACTTTTTAAAACACCGAAGTCTTTGATTAAATTTAAATCTGTTTTATATTTTAATAAGGTTTCTCATGTTAGCCTTTCTGAATAGCTCAAGTGTTATAAGAATTGTATTCCAGCAAGTTTTTACAATGAAACTCAAGTTCTTGTCCAAAAATAGCCTTGATTATGATTAAAAAATATTTTTAAGCTTGCATGGATTTTGAAACTTATAATTCAAACTAATGCCTTATAAATAAAGTTCTACTATGATCTCCAAAATAAATTGGTCCATATATGTTAGTAGCAATACCAACAGTAATGTGTGACAAATGTTCACTGACACTGATATATGATATGTTCACTGACAGTCGTCAACTTTACACCTTTTACAACTAAATGGTTTCGATCATTGCTTTCTGCTTTTTATCAAAATCTTTGTGCAAAAATTTCATTACTTCATTAGTTTAGAGCTATCTTAGTTGGCTGACAAATGTATTTCTGGTCAAATCAGAATTCTAGCTCAAATCAAAAGGGGTCAAATCAGAGAAAATGCCCTTTTTTCAGTTTTTTCAACTAAGAAGTTGATTAAAGGTTTGGGTTCAAAAACTTTAATAACTTTTTAATATAAAACTTATTGGATTATCATTGATTTTTGACAAACTTAAATTTATTAAGTTATTAAACAAATACATTTATACATATATATATAAAAAGCCTACAACGCAAAATATTGCAGTAAAATAAAAAAACGACTGATTATAAAATGAAAACTTTCTTCTTTATGATTATGTATTGTTCTCATAATCTAATGTTTTTTTTTGATAAAAATTAGAAATTCCACTCAAAATTTTAACTAATCAAAAATGCAATCCATAAACCCAAAAGTGTAATTAGTAAAACTGTATTCATAAATAAAAAAAATAAGCAAATACCTTTTCAATATTTTTGTCTGTTACACCAGTAAACACAACTTTAGGTTTTGAAGAAGAAAGTCGACGCTTGCTTACAATTTTTGAGGATAAATTATTAAATGAATTTTCTTTATTTGATGACAAGTTTTTTGCTATAACAGAGTTTTCACTCTTGCTTTTGTCTATTGTTTTTCTTTTACAAACTACAAACTTTTCAGGGTCATTTTCTATCAATTTTCTTTTAATTATTGGTTTTATATCCTGTGGAGAAAACTCGATTGTTTCCTTTTGCTTAAGTAATTTTAGGTTTTGGTTTTTTCCAAGATCGATAACATCTGTAAAACATGATTCTCTTGGTGATTCATTTGGTTCTTTTTTTATTGTTTTCTTTTCTTCACAAATAAGATGCTGTTCTTTTTCTACATTCCTTTTAGAAGAATATATTGACTTTTTTCCCCTTCTGTTTTTGGGTTTATTATCGTCAACTTCTTCCAGACAAATTTTCATTTCAAGGTTTATATCAGTAAAATCTATAGATTTATTTGTAAGATTTTTATTCGAATTTGTTTCTTTTTTTATTTTTTCTATATTTTCTTTTTCTTTATAATTCGTTTTTATTTTATTAAGTTCAATTTTATTAATTGATTTAGATTTTTTTCTTTTAGTATCTTTTACTTTCTTTGATAATTCATTGAAATCTTCTCCAGCGAGTTTGAAAATTGATTTGGTATTGTTTAAGTCTTTCTCTAATATTTCGACTGCTGATTGGACAGAATCAATGCTGTTTTTGTTTAACTCATTTGTACATAGATCAACAATACTGCTTTGTTCTACATCTTCACAGTTTTTATTACTAACTCTTTCAAATGTAGATCCAGAATAATCATTTCTCTTACCTTGAGAAAAGTTATCGCAGCAACCATTATTGATTTAAAATCTATAGTCAAGCTTTTACAACATAACAAATAAAAATTGACTTACAAATGGTTCTTAAAGATTTTCTAGTCTGAATGTGTGATTTATTTTGAATGGAATCTTTTAATGTGTTGTTTAACATTTTTACATTGTCATTTTCTTTATCATTGGCAACACAAACATCTGAAAAAAAAACCCAGTAATTATTTGATTTTTTTTTAATTAAAAAAAAAATTAAATAGATAAAAAAATAAAGATCAGATTTGATAAAAATTTTGTATTATATAAAAAATTTGTATTACTTTCCTTATACACTATAAATGTTTAATCTATTTTTTGTTATGATGCATTTAATTCTTTTACTACAATATTATTTTTCTCTATATCTCATATAAATTTAAAACATTTTTTGATCTTATTAAAAACCGTGTAAAGTAGTAATAAAGAAATCTTTTTTTAGTAAAACATTGATCTTACAAACACCCATTTCAAATTTTAATTATGGTGTCAGTGTGAAGCCATTAAAACAAAAAATTTGCCAGCCACATGCCATATTTGATGGATGACATTTTGTAGCTTTTCTATAGTATAACACACTTATTTTTTGGTTTGTTTCTTATTAAATTTATCAAGAATTGATAAATTTAATAAGAAACAGCAAAGAGAGACAAGAGACAGCAACCTTAAAGGATGGGAAATAATGCCTAGACAAAAAAAAAAAAAAAAAAAAAAAAAAAAAAAATATTGTGATATCATAGACCTGGTTGTAAAGCTAAAATAACTGTTGCTACAAATGAAATTTATTTACATGTGTTATTTTTATATTTGGATTCTCATCTAAATAACATTGAGTCAAGTTACCAGTTTTAAATACTTTTTTCACCTTTATAATTTTTATGACTCACTATGATTTTATTATTACTTAATATTATTACTTAATATTATTTTTAATATTTTATAATTAGAAATTTTAACATTACTTTTATGATAATACAATCCCTTACCTTAAGGAAACAATCCCTTACCTTAAGGACACAAATTATTTCCTTTCCACATTTGAACAACACAAACTTGCTTTACTAGATTTCATGTTCATAACTCTGGATATTACTTCAATTTAAACAAATATTCCACACAACAAAGGTATTGAAGCTGTGATAAAACCATGGATAAAACACCCATAGAAAAGTTACTTTATAAATACTCATTCAACACTGTTTCTATGATTATTGATAGCATTTTCATAATTTTACTTATTGTCTTCATTGACTTCAAAAAATTGAATAACTAGATCATTAATATTATTAATGGAATGAATATTATCTACAGTAATGGTAATTCAACCTGCCAAACTCAACCTGCTCCCTGCCTACTTACTTGATCACTACATTCTACAATTTGAATTGTGGCCTTCTGACAACTTTTGTTCTTAAAATCGTCAGTAAGATTCAAAAGTAACTTGCTTATCTTTTTTTTCAAACCTTATTCCATCACAATCAATATCAAGTTCACTCTTATCACAACCAAGTCCTTTATCTACAGTAATGGTAATTCAACCTGCCAAACTCAACCTGTTCCCTGCCTACTTACTTGATCACTACATTCTACAACTTGGATTGTGTCATATATTTAATATCATTGCTTTTATTAATAACTAATTTTAAAACGCTATCAACATTTGTCTTTTTTAGAGAATTAAATTTTTCATTAAACTTTTATCTTTTAAACTAAGATTGAGAAATAGTTTTTAATTTGAAATTTGCTTACGACTTTTTTTTTTACTGAATAATTAAAAAAACAACACATGTTGTGTTCATATTTTTTAAAAAGTTAGGAAAAACAAGCACTTAAACTTTTTTCAATTTTTGAATAAAAATAAATAATAAATTTATTCCAATAAAAACTAAACTTGTCATTTTACTATAAGCTCTCTTTTTCCATTCTACTCAGTATCTTAAAGTATTTAAAATATATGCCGTTATCTACAGAAAAAATTATTTACTTCAAGCGCATTTAATTTGTGAAAGTTTTAGTAAATGACATCATTGTAAAGTATATATTTTTAATATATTGACAGTATTTATTATCAATATTTGACTAACTATATTGATGTCATATACTGAAATGCTTATGATTTTAACACACTTGAAATAAATTATCAAATCTGTAGATTGCAGGATATATTATAAATACTTAGAGATACTGAATAGAATGGAAAGGAGAACTTATAGTAAAATGACAAGTTTAATTTTTATTAATATACATTTATTAATTAGTTTTAATAAAAAAAAAAAAAAAATTAAATCAACCATTTTTTTTTTTAAATTTAAACAAAACATGTGTTAGGATTTAGGAGTTCCTTTAATATTTTAAAACTGTGTTTTAAAAGATAACTGGGAAAAAAGATTTGACCTGCAGTAGGTCAAATCACAAGGAGGGTTAATACTTTATTTTATTTCATTATTAAAAAAATTGTTACGCTAATTATATTAATAATTGTAGAAGTTTGACAAAACAATAAAAACCAAATATAAAAACCAAAATAATACTTTTTAAAAAGAGTAAAAGTTAAGAATATTAAAAAAAAAAAAAGAATTAAAAATTATTTCTATTAAACTCACATGATTTTAGCGATTTTCTTGTTTGAATCTTTTTTGGGTTGTGAACATACTTTTTATGTTTTAAATCCTTTGCAACACTATTGTCATTTTCGTTAGTTTTAACACTAATACAATCTTTTTCATATGCAGCTTTATTACTATCTTCCTTATCACTATCTCCCTTGTTTGCTATATTATCACTATCTTCCTTATTTGCTGTGCTATCACTAAGTACCTTGTTTGCATCACCATATCTGTTATTTGAAACACTTTTGCCCTCTTCAATGTTTGCAAAGTTGCAAAGTTCATTGCTTGCAACACTATTGTCTTCTCCATTGTTTGCAGCATTATCCTCATTTCCTTTGTTTTCATCATTATCGACTTCAACATGATCTTAAAAAAAAGTTAATAGTTTCAGCTAAAAATATATATATATATATATATATATATATATATATATATATATATATATATATCAAAGTGTCTGAAAATGTTATGGAAACCAAAGTTTTTATATCAAACTTATTTTTTCAAACTTTTGGTTGGTTCTTAGTTTCTCTAAAATACTTTTAGTAGTGTCATGCTGTAATATATGCTATCAATGGCAACTATTTGTAGCTAAACTTCATCAAGCATATGTAACATATTTATAACTATATTCCATTAAACATACCTAACATATTTATAGATAAGTTACATAAAAAACTGGAAAATAGTATGTATAACCTATGAAACTGAAGTATGTAAGTTATTTTGACAAAATGCAATTTTTATTATTTTTCGAATTGTTTATTTTACTAAAATATGCAAACCCAAACCTATCAGTTGATGCATGTTTTCTTACAAGTGTCCTATTGCCAAAGCAAGTACTTTTGTTTTGCATTAAAAACAACAACAACAACAACAATAAAAAAGAAAACAAAAAACAAACATAAAAACAAAAACATGCAATCAAACAAAAAATAACAAACTAAATTGACCACCATGGTTTTATGTCGCAAAGAAACTAAATATTTAAAAAATTTTCTTAAATCAAATTCAATTTTTCTGACACTATCAAGGCGTGTTAGAAAAAATGCTTTTTATATGCAGCCTAACCTCTAAAAGGGTGAGGTGTGTGCTGGAGAAAATCTATTTAATAATTTTTTTTTTTTGTTATTTCATTACATATGTAAAACAAAATACAACAAACTAAATTAACCTTAAGTTCTTTAAATATTGGTAAGATGAAAAAAAATTTTATAGTAAAAATCCAAGTATAAATCTAAAGTTATTTGTAATGTTTTGTAGCTTTTCTTGTTTAAAATACTTTCTTTATAATGATTCACATAACTTAGAGCTAGCACAAATGTTTAACAACATGAGTATTATTTAAAAAATTTTAAGTTGTTTATGTTTTTCATAGTAGAGGGTAAATAATTATTAGAAGAAATAATTAAATAATTAAACATATATTACTATATTAAAAATTGTGTTAAATATGTTTGATATAGAGATTATTTCATAAAAGTTTTTTGAATAAATTGTTAATTTTTTATTATAATCAGGATGAGAAATATTTTATTACATACATGCATCATTTAATTTACATGCATGCGTTATTTTGTTACGTACATGGATTATTTTAAATTTAGCATGAATTGCCTTTTTGTTTGACAAACTTACCCAGATTACAAAATTGGATGATACAAATGAATAACATGATTCATTATTGTGTGGATTTTCCGAGTTAGCAAAACAACTTTTCAAATGTACCTCAATAACATTTTTCTGTCATATATAAAGCAAGAATATACTATTGTCCAAAAATCTTTTAAGCACTATATTATTGGATTAAACTGAAGTAGAGCGTCCTACACCAACAAGTCTAGTTTCTCCAATATAAGCTTGGAGCTCCGTCCCAACCAAATCCTAAGTTACCCACATTTATTTATCTCTTTAAATCCACAGTTATTTATCTCTTCAAATAATTCACAACAAATACACAGATTATAATTCAAATATCTTCAAGGGTGAGAACTAACCAATCTTAATAACCATGTATTAAAATAGAATTTCTGGAACATTAGGTCCAAATTTTTTCTAAACTTCTTAAAGTAAATTTCCTAATAAATTTATACAACCATAAAAAAATGAAGTTCTGGTGGAGGATGTTGAACATCAGGATCAACATCAAGATAAATAAGACAAAGAAATATAAACACTTAAAATAATGTTGGTTGCATGTTGTAAAACTGTTGTAGTATTCCAAAATAAAAAAAGAATAATTTAGTATCATTTACTTTTATAACTTATATATATAAATCTAATATTAAACCTAATAAACCTTAGTAATAATATATTAGTGTTTTATAATTTTTCACATTATAAAACACTTCCACCTACTATTTTGTATTTATCTAATTATTTATAAATGCTATTTACATAAATATTTTGTAAATAACATTATTATGGCATTTCATCTCTTTCAACTTTGGTTCATTTTTCTTAAAATTAAAATACTGTTGATTTTTTAACTATTAAAGATATAAATATCTTAATCAATCCCTTTCTCATTTTATTTCATTTTATAAAATATTTATTATTACCAAGGCTTCTATATAATCTTGGTATTTTTTCTTTCAGTTTTCTTTTTACATTAATCAAATATATATTACAAATGAAATCACATGTTTCAGTTAAATACCTTGCAAAGAAAGAAAATCATTAAGATTAATTAAAATGGAAGAATAATTTATATGGATTTCAGATGGAAGATTTATATAGAAGTTCAATAAATTCAGATGCACTTTAGACGGAAGAAAGCTTATCAAGATTTTGTTGCTTAACAAGCCTTCTGAAATTGTTGTCTAGTCTCCACCAGAATCCATTACCACTTGTACTTATTATTACCAAGCTCTCATTTAATATTAATTAGTAATTTATTATTATTACTTATTAGTAACTGAAGAAAATTGATGTGTCTTTTACTTTAATAATCCTGCTCAACCAAACAGCCACATGAATCTTTAAACAAAATTTGTCAAATATCAAAATTGGTCACTAGAATTTCTTGTATTTCATTCAGTGTTGTGAATCTACTACTCTCAAAACTGCTTTTTGCTACATTTCTCAGTTTAAAACAAAACAATTTGATTATCTCTCTGATCCATTGCAGGTTGTAACTGCATAATAGCTTCCAGAGATCCAGATGTTATGGTATGCATACAACCACATTATCTTATAGACCTTGAATATACTTGCAATAATATAAAATCAATAGGATTGTTAACATTCTGAAATTTTGAAAACCTGATAACAATTAGTAACAATTAAATGCAAAAAAAAAAAAAAAAATACCTAGATTAGAGTTAAAATTTTTGAAAATCTTCCTAAAAATTAAATAAGCATATTACAAACACTTTTGACTAAATTTATTTGGATCACTCTAATTAGTTCTTTGACTAATACATCTAATTAGTGTCAGTTGTATGTTAGAAAAGTGTGATCCTAACAATATTTGCACCAAGTAAAGATACCAAAAATTACAAAAAAAATTAGATATGTATATTTGTTGGGTTTTATACCAGAAAATAAAATCAAATTACAAAATGAAAAATTTTGTAATTTTTTTTCCAGCACACACGCACTACCCTTTTAGGGGTCATGGTGCCTAAAAAAAGAAATTTTTCGGACACCTCTTAATAGATGTGATTTTTAAAAATTTAGTTTTACAAATATTTATTAGGCACCTTCTTACAAATATTTATTAGGTACCTTCTTACAAATATTTATTAGGTACCTTCTTACAAATATTTATTAGGTATCTTCTCTTCTTCTTAGGAAGCAAAAAAATAAATTAACAACAGCAACAGCAAGCTAATTTCTGTAAATCATTTTTACAATAGCATTAACAATAATCAAAATACAAATAGTATTAACAATAATAAAAATAATAACAATAACAATAATAATAATAATAATAATAATAATAATAATAATAATAATAATAATAATAATAGATAACAAAATTAATAAAATCATAATTTGCAGGTTATAATAATAAAAATAGAAAAAAATAAAAAATAAATAAATAAAATACTGATAATAATTGTAGTAACAACAAAAGGAAAATTAAAAGAATATTTTAATAATAAGAATAATGTCTAAGAATAAAATATTTTTCAGAACTTTTAAAAATGGATCTTGTCTAAGATTAAAAAAATTTTAAGAAGTGGTTTTTTGGACTTAAAATTTCAAAATGCAAATAAGGCTTTTGTTCCATTTACAGACGCACTTATAAACAGTAGAATGTTTACCATACTTCTGAGTTTTAAAAGATGGTAAACTTAGTTTTCAATTGTATTTCTAATAGAGTAGGGATGTACTAGTTTACTTTCTGTAAACAAGTTTAAATGGATAATGGTAAACTTTTATTTAAGGAGTCAAAAACAAAAAGAAGATTAACATACTAATGCTGGAGTTAATAACATATGCTAACCTTTAGCAGTATAAGTTTTTTGAAGGACTCTGATGTATCTGATTTAAATAGTTGGTTGATTTAAAGCTTTTTATTCTAACAGATTGACACTGAGATAATAGTAACTTGTTAATGCAATAGTTTCCAAATTGACAACAATAGCTAATATGAAATGAGAATAATGCATAGTAAATATTTGTAAGTATAACTTAATCGACATGATGACAAATTATTAAAAGCATACTGTTACCTTGAGATGGTTTAACATTTTTTGCATAGCTCATCAATGTGAAAATTTATTGAAAGATTGCAGTCAGTTAATACACCAAGATATTTAACTATCGAAGGATATAGCCATTTATTATTAATTTTGATTTTAACTTCAATATTTTTATAGAAATTTTTTTCTCAGAAATGAAAAAAAGTAAAAAATCATATAAACAATTAGATGAGTTCAGAAAAGACTATAGAGTGTAATCTTTTCTGAACTCATTTAATTGTTTAAATACACAAGTTTTTCAAGCAACTTACTAATGTTAGATAAAAGAAATAGGTCTATAATTAGTGAATGAAAGTTTAGAGCCATTTTTAAATATTGGAATAACATGAGATGTTATTCCTATTGTATCTTTTGTAGGAATGCTGTTTGGACATGGTTATTTTTTAGAAATATTTGTTGGAGATAATAATAAACTATATTTAAATTTGGATATTTAAGATTGAAGTATATGATTGAAAATAGCAGACTAGTTGATAGTCTGCCATTTTTTAATCATATTCTTTTTCCTAGAATTTTTATCAGACATTTTTCTGAAAATAACCCATTTTTAATAGCAAAAAAATATTTTCTAAAGTTTATCTTTAAAAATTAAACCAGGTTATATCAGAATCTCTAAAGTATTTTGTAAAATATTTTTATACTTTTAAATATTTAACTAAAGTGCTTGATATCAGTGCTATATATAGGTTTAACAAGATGAAATATTGCATTTTCAATTTCAAAACCACTTTTTAAGCAAATTTTAAGTAACAAGCAACAGGGAGATAAACAGATGGTTTGGATTGTGGCTTATGTAAACATGATAGAGGACTGATGTAAGTATAGAAGATTTTTTTTCCAATTCTTTTTAAATCATTTTTTCCCTTAAAATGTAAGGTACAAACTTTAAACATAAATTTCATATAATAAACCTGTGTCATACAACAAGTTGCAATAAATTAATTCTTCTAAAGAATAAAGAATTTATAACTTTTTTTTTATTTTTTTTATTTTTATTTTAATTCACCTCCTCAAGGCCGAGAAGGCCACTACAGACGAGGAGGCTACTTATTTGTGGTTATAACCCTCTCTCAACTCTATAACTCCGAAACACGAGCCTGGACGAGCAAGGCCGCTGCGCGGAGAAACGAGTTGAGCGCGGTACTACCAGGGACGTGGTGGGGATTGAACTCGGAACCACTCGTTTATGAAGTTATTAATATGTTATTAATATATAACTGCTGTAAAAAAATTGTTATAAAAAAGTACATTCATGAAATTCTTGAATATTTCAAAAAACTAGGTAACTTAAACAACCATACCCATATATTTTTGAGATATCATACAGAAATCTTGTGTAGCACTTGAAATATTTGGCTCCATAGATGCACTGGCAGAACTTGGTGTCTGCGTTTCAATATTTGCATATTGACTATCATGAAAATTTTCCGTCATGCAGTATGCTTGAGTTGCCAGCATATCCATATCATCCAAGGTATTACTTTCAACAGAATGCTCTTGAAATTCGTTCTGATTTGAAAATGCAGGAAGTTTGATTAAATCTTGTGCAATCAAACTTGAACCAGGAAGTGAGTTATTTATAAAGTTATTAAGATCTTCCTTGTGGCAAGGGCTAGTAAGAACTTTTTTCTAGAAGAAACATACAAACTTTAATTTTTCATTTTTTATTACTATTATTAATCAAAACTTTTAAATATTAAACATAAATATTTTTATTTATATTTTCAATAATGTTCAATGATGTTGTTAAATCTTACAGGTTCATCTTCCAAAGATTTCTTTTCATTGCAATTTTGGATACTACTGGTAGGAGAATCCATAGAAAAATCAAAAAACACTGATGTTTTAGAATGTTTAACAGATAAGGGATATTTAAACTCTTGAGAACACATTTCTTGAGAGAACATTTCTTGAGAACCTTTTAACATACCTAAATCTTCTTTATTCTTTATTTCAGAAAATTTATCTGCAACCTTTGTAAAAGCATCTAAAAACAGTAAATTTATAATTTAAACAGATCAATAAATATTCCTGAGTCGTGCAAAGGTAATAAGATAACTTGAACAATAATATATGCATCTATAAATTTTATGTAAAAAGTAATTTGTAGATGTGCTTAAAATTTTAAGAAAATTTTTGATTGATAATAGTATTTTTTTTCTAAAATTGTAAAAATTTTGTTACAGTTTATTTATGAGTCTGCACCATTCACTGTGTCAAGACACCTTATTTAGGTAAAAACATGACAAAAGTTCAGAGAAAGATAGTTTGCTGTGGAAACGAAACTTTATAAACAAATTTAAATCTTTAAAACTGAGCTCCTTTGAGAGCAGATGAACCAAAAGTAATTTAAATGTACACAATTTTACGATTTTTAAGACATAAATATATTTGTCAGGTCAGGACAGCCTTATTTGTCAGATCAGGTTATCCTGCTAATGGTAACATGTAACCTGATACAATCTGCTTTATGTCTTACTGCCTTGTAGAATACGCTTTTTTAGGTAAAGACTAGGAGAAGCCAACTCTGACTTAAAACATCCCCTTAGGGTTCTTGGTTGAGTAAAGGCTAGAGATGGTGTCTTGATAAAAATACTCATCTTGAGCATATGTTAAATGCATCCGGTTATTGTCTTGTAGAAAGTCTCCCAGGCAAAGACTCAAGGGATAAACAGAATCTATCTGTCGACCAGCCTTGCACCCCTTCTTCATCAATTAGGCTGGAACAGATGTATTTTTAATACATTATTTCCAGTTTAGGATGTTGAATGCTGGATCTTCTTGACTCGATGCATGGGTTTTGGTTGTGCCTCTACTTTTATGAGTAGGTAAGTCATTTTATTATCTTCTAATGAGGGTACAACTTTAAAACTCAGTTTTATGGTTCTGAGGCTGGCTAGTAGTCTGGTTTCCCGAACTCTGTGGTAGCTCTCAGAGAGGCTGATTCCATCAACAGCTAAAAAATATCAAAGTATTAACAGTGCCATGTTGCGCATGGATGGTGTCCCTCTTCCTACTTTTAGTATGCATTGTTGAGGCCACAATTGGAGTCCTTTGTTACAACTTAGGGTTTATTAATAGTAATGAGGCAATTGCTTGAACTGTTAAATAGTGTACTGAGTACTATCTATGCTTTGAGTCAAGTTCTTTATAAAATTTAAAATGACTAAAGTACCAAAAACTATAAAACACAAAAAACCATCATCATCACTAAGTACTTTAAATCTATCATTCACTAATACTTGTGGTCTTCGAAGTAACTTTTCTTCTGTTGAATCTTATCTCTTGCAAAGTTCACCAGACCTACTTGCTCTTTGTGAGACTAATTTGAGTTCAGCTGTCTCATCTTGTGATCTTAATGTCGATGGTTATCTTCCTTTAATTCATTAAGACTCCAGCAGGCACATGCTTGGCCTGGCATTTACATTTGTAAGAAATCATTTGTTTGTCAGGAAACTAGGTTTGAATCCACAAACTACAGTGTTGGCGAAAAGTATTGCAACTTTTCTAAATTTAACATTTTTATAAAATTCGAAATGAATTTGATGTTTTCTCAAAAAGTGAAAAAAATTTTAATTTTTTTCACTTTTTGAGAGGTATAGTTTAATCATAATAGGTCTGGCAAAGGAGATTTCACCAAGAATACGTGCGATTATTATTCAATATTCGAAGGATGGTATGAATCAGCAAGATATTTCTAAGAAATTGTATTTAACTAAGTCTTCAGTTAGTTGAAGACTTAGTTATTACGAAATACAAAGCTTCTGGGTCAGCATCACCACTGAAACGTTCTGAACAACCCAGAGTAACAACAACACGTGATGACTCTCTAACTCTCTACTCCAATACTCTGCAGTCAGAAATGCGACTTATTCAAGTCTTCAAATAAAACTAGACACTGGTTGCGGTGTGAGTACACGAACAATACGTGACCGAAAGATGGTCCAAGGTGTTGTTTTCCGACGAGTCTACATTTCTGCAGTTTAGATCTGTCACACAGTATGTACGTAGACCAGTTGGATTTCGAGATGATATTTGTTACACCTTGCCGACAGTTAAACATTCACCCCAAATTATGGTTTGGGGATGTTTTTCAGCAATGGGGCGAGGGTCTCTATACTTTATACCAGCGAAATAGATGGTAAACTCCGTTGAATACCTAAAGATTTAAAATTCTAAACTACCCCTAGCAATGCGCTTGCATTGTTGTGAACTGTTTCAACAAGACTCAGCACCATGCCATACCAGTCGAGTTGTAAAAAAGTGGCTAACTGACAATGGGATTCAAGTTCTGGACTGGCTAGGCAACAGTCCATTTTGAATCCCATTGAAAATCTTTGGACAGTGATGAAAAGAAAAGTAAGAAAGTATTACAGTAAAAGCATTGAAGAACTCATTTACAACATTAAGAAGGTGTGGTGCACCGAAATCACTCCGGATCTTTGTCAAAAACTGGTTCAGTCAATGCCAAACCGTATCAAATGTGTGTGAAAAAACTTAAAGCTAAATAAATTACGTTTAGAACAAATATTTTCAAAACATCGCTCTTTTGTAATTTTTTTTTATAAAATTAAGCGATGTTTTTTATATAAAGTAACAACTTGCAATTGTTTAAAAAAGAAACAAATGCTCTTTATTTAGCAAAGTTCGCAAGTTTTAGTTTTATTTAAGCTAAAATATTTTATAAATAAAAAAGTTAATTTTTTCAATACCTATTTTATGTTTCGCGTAGTTTGAAAAGTTTAACATATTTTAAGCAATTCTTCTTAGTAAGATAAACAAATGAAATAATTAAATCATTGAATTACTATAGAAATTAAATTAATAAGATAAAAATCAACTAAAAAGGTTAAAAACACTTTATGACGAGGAAGCGAAACTGCTTCACAATATCGCTGATGATGTTTAGCGAGTGGGCTCTTTAATTTTAATTAGTATTTAAAGCAGAAAAAAGTATAACGAGTTTCAAGGATGGCAACTTAAGCGAAAATAATTAGAGTTGGTAAACCAATATATAGAAACTCTTCTTTATATCTAATTATTTGCTATATATATATTTGTGTTCTGTCGTGACCTCAGGCGCGGTGTTTGTTCATCCGCGAGTTACTTTGAATGCGTTGTTTGTGTTTAGTAACCAGAAACTACTTATATGTTTGTTACATAATTAGTTTTATTAACTATAACGATTATAACTTCATTGAAAACGCAATTATTTTTGTAAGTCTTTGTTTAAATCATAAAAATTGCTTTAAAAGATACATTACAATAAAAAACAGATACACAAAATTACTTTTACATAAAGAATACATACTTTTTAAATAAAAAAATAAGAATATACTAATAAAATCTATAATTTATAATAAACTTTTGAAATTTTGACAATTTAATATATATTTAAAATATTTATTTTTGTAAACAAATATATATTCTTAAAACAATTTATGCTAGAAATCTCAAAACGTAACAAATCGTGAATATGACAATTTCTAAAACATTTCAACAGGATACTCTAAAACTTTATTTTGCTAAGTCAGCGTATTTTTTGAACTAATAGAATTAGTTATTTGTTAATTTAGCGGGTTTTTAGTGTTCGCGAATATTTTTTTTATTCTTTCGCACAAAGATGTTTTGAGAACATTCAAGTTTATTATGTTTCCATGTATGTCCGTAAAACAAAATTTTGTTTCGTACATAAACTTAAATGTTCTCAAACGACTAAAAAACCTGGCCAGTTTTTCGCAACTAAATATAATTTCTGTGGTCAGTATTCGAAAGCGATCGCTCCCGCTTCCCGACCAAGCCTGTATATGATGCCAAATATTTGACAGTATAATCAACTAAACTATGCCAAGCATTTAACATATTGTTCACATTCCCAGTGAAGCCAGTATAACGTAACTGCATATTATAAAAGTCATACAATTTTTTGATGTTATCATCTGCAAATGAATTATTTGTGTTATTTTGATACCAACCGCCAGTGTTTAGTATTAACATTCCGTACATATCAGGAACTGTATTTTGTGCCTCCAAATGCTCTTCTATGGATTTGGTAATTAACACTACAATCATTGATTTCGAATTCTTAACTAGAGTTAGTGCGTTTGTAAAATCATGAAGCTCGACATCCTGAAATGAATACTTTCCATTACTATTTGTTACTTTTGATAGCAAACGTTTGACTGTTGGTAAATCATTAAACTCTTTTTTCTGCAAACGACTTAACTGCTTTTTAGTTTGTTCAATAAATCCAGAAGATGCTACAGAATCAACTTCGTTGCTTTGAAAAGATAAAGATAACAACTTAGCTGGCGATAAAATTTCTATGATTAATGCTATATAAAGAGGTATTCGTCCATGATTCCACTTTTGATGGTACCCTTTAAACTTTGCTCTTTCTGCTTGGGTAAAACTGAAATCTGCAGCCATATTTTTGAGATGTTTCATATATACTCCATATTTGTCTAAGAGCATCTCAAGTGCTTGAATTTTATGTGCACTCCATCGTGTTCCTATTTATTATTAAACAAATAACTTATACTTTTATAAAAAGTTTTTATTGCATAATATTTTACTGAATTCAATTTTTTTATTGATCGAAACACTTTTTTATAAATAACTTTTGTTGCTTAAAAAGACGAGCATGTAACGAAGTATTACTTTATAAAGCCTTTTTTATAGAATAAATTAAAATGAAATTCAATATACTTGATGCTTTTTTGGGGCGAATACCTGCAATGTCAAATGCATTGCCCTCTTCAAGAATAGCAACATTCTCTCTTAACTGTCGTAACTTTTTGGGTGATTTTTTATAAATTGCATACATTTTCAAAATGATGTTATCGACATCATTAAACGCCTTTATTTCTCCAAATTTATCTTTTAACGCTAACTCAAGGCGATGTGCAACACACCAACCGAAAGTTATCCATGGAATTTCCTTCTGAAGTAATAGACATTTGTCCTCTTTCCTCTATTTACAGATGC